AGCATGCAAAGAAAACATGTAACTGTCTGCTATCAGTTTTCCTGAAGTTAAAACACTTTCCAGCCGTGTTAACATGTGTGCACTTCACAACCCAGTGGATTCTCTGTAATTGTCTTTATTCCATTCTCTTTATGCTATTTGTACTTTCCCATCTTCTTTGAAGGAAAGGAAGTCATCATGAGTTTCAGCCACAGGACGTGGAATGCAGGCACCTAAACTTGTTTCATGAACAGCCATGAAACAGGACTGCTCTCCAGTCCTTGGGTGTAAGGATCACATGACCCAGTTTGTCGCTGAACACTTTCACGCTGAGCTTTACATCTTTCCCTCTCCCAGTGATTCCTACTCCTAGCCGTGTCATTTTTTATAACTTACTCCTATGACACAGGAAGACTCATAAAACTAAGTCCCAGTAGGATGACATGAGAATTCTGGCTTCTGCCCCACTCCTGGATGGTTTGCTTCAGTTATTTCATTGCCACTAGATGGCATCATTACAGGAATTTAAGAGCCAAACTGCTTGGAAACAATTTCTGTCTTGCTTTTGGATGAATGGAATGTTCTAGGTTCTACTATTTACTGTCGTTTCATTAAGTTGCTTGTGTCATCTTTTACCTTGATATGACAGACTCTCTGGCACAGGGCTAAATGGGGAGCACTCTGTGAATAACAGCTCATTAACTGGCTTCTCAGGATGTGAGAAAAACACTTTGGTTTGGCTTACAAGTAAGATGTCACCAATGACATGGATTGTGGACACTATTTCTCAACCTTCCTATCCAATTCTAGTTTCTTTCAGAGCTGTCAATCATATACAGGTTCAACACCCTTACTCAGAAAACAAACTCCAAAACTCTACTAAATGTGTATTTGTTTTCACATTTTCAGATTATCTATGCAAATATTCCAAAATGTACTTGCATTACTAGACTTGTAGAGGTAGTTAGTATGCCTCAAATCATTAATACAGGATTTACCATGATTGTTAGGGTTACCATGTCATTATCAAAGGAATGGCAGATGCACTCCTTCATTCAATTTCCTGTGCTCCCAAAGACATTGGCTTCAGTTTAGCTGTCTGTGGCCTCAATGTAAGCTAAGCCTCAGGATCGGGTCTGTGGATTCTAACTGCCCTTCCTTAGATTCTTCTTGATATTCTTTATAGGAAAACAGGCCCTTTCGTGGGAGGTCATAGTTTGTCTGGTGGGTCAGAAATCAATAAAACTAGAGAATCCTTAGTTAATGTGGAGAGCCTGTCTGCTGTGAGCTATCACAAGTAAGTAATGACTTTTAAAGCACTTATCTCAGAAACGTATTCACTTATGTGTAGGTACACACATATGTACATGTGCATACACACACATTCCTCTCCCCAAGCTATTACAAAGAGTAAAAACAAAACAAGCTACCAAAACAAATCAGAAAAAAAAAAAAACCCTCAGTCTTCATCAAGGCAATTGAGAAGTAGCACTGAAGGATTAAGAACTTAAAATAGTCACTTCATAAACTGTCTAAGCCACATCTGTGCCCTCATTAACTAAGCTGCTAATCGGTTAAACACAACTTGTGTGTGGCGCAGCAGTCTCTGTCTTTGGACGCCTGAACTACCCCAACAGCACCACAGTCAGAGTTGGGGCCATGCAACCAGCTTTCCTGCCAGATTGGGCTGCCGAAGCAGCCTGTCCCCTGAGCCCTAAGTCACAGTGCCTGGGAGCCTGCACCCACACCACGTGCCAGCCCTGCACCCAACCAAGAACCGAACCCAGTGTCCTTGAGGGACCCGATTCCGGCATTTCCCACCTCTTCTTTTATCCAAATGTGAGTGTTTATAGAAAATCATCTGAAACTCACACAATCCAAAACAGTGAATAAGTGATGACCTTGCATTACTTTTTCTAGGGGATGTTTTTTTCTCCTCTTAATGAGAAGTAGTCGTTAAGCTCATCCCCTACCCCTTCTTTCTATCTTCAGGCCTGTGGGGGCTTTCCAGGGCCTACAGAGCTGCACTGTGGGAGAGCCTGACTCTCAGGGGCTCCATCCAGCTTCCCCCACCCACTCCTCCCAACCTGCAAGGTTGAGGTCTCCAGAGCACCACTTCACCTCCAAGCCTGTACCACGTGGGCTGCCCATGGAGTTCCCCCAGTTCCCTCAGCAGTTCACTGAGAGGGTGCACAGAACAAAACCCTATCATCTGCCTAGAAAGTTAATTTGATAAACGTAACAGGATTCCTCTTGCCTGCCCATTGGGAGCTTTTCCTCTGATCACCGTTGTCATCATCACTAGGTAGCAGCAGGGATACTAACCACCATTAAGAATTGTTGATTGTGTTGAAGTTCCAGGATGAGAGGACAATGTCCCTACAGGTGGCTTTACCCCCTCTGACATCAGAGTATCTTCTCCTCTTCCTCCTCAGAGAACTACCCACTCCCTCCAGCAACTCTCAGTCCTGGCCATATGGCAGTCAGAACTGGGAGACAGAAATGACTCAAGGTTACTTTCATCTTTGCAACGGAGCCACTAGTGGTAGCTCATTTCACCAACCAGCAGCAGGTCAGTCTAGAATCAGCAAAGAGGGACTCAGTCTCCCTGAGAAGCAAATTAAACAGCATAAACACCGGGATGCCTGTGAGGCTTCTCGCCACAGCTCCAGTATTATCTCCACCAAGCTATATCCCAACTAACCCCAAGGAGCTGAGATTACTACCAATGGCATTTAGCAGCTGGGGCTGGGGGGAGGAAGAGAGGTCACCAGCAAGAAACCTTGTCTCTAGGTGCCCAGGGAATGGCCGGCTGGCATGGAAGAGGGCCAGGTGGGCCTGGCAAAGCTGCCAGGAGCTGCACAACTAGGGTTGGAGGCTTCCTGCCAGATGGGAGGACAAGGTAGTTCCTTGCTGGTGACCTCTCATGGCCCTTCCAGGCCAAGCAACTGAATTCCTTCAGAAGTAATTGTGGCTCTGAGTGTAGAGATTGGGCTCCAGAGGTGGTCAAGAACAAGAGGCTAACACAAACCAAGAACAAGGAGCCTCATGGTGTTAACAATGTGCCCATTTTCCAAAGTGCCCTCCCAGCCAATACATCATATCTGTTTTAAAGAAGGGGGCCCTGAATAAGCTGATTGGGGTGATGGACGCTGCTGGACCCTATACTGGCAAACTCACACAAGAATCAGGGTCGGAATAATCTCAGATGAAGCTTCTTTGGAGATCCCTCCAACTGAACTGCTGATCTCAGAACCCCAACCATGAAGAGACTATGTCAGCCAGTGGATTCTGAGTAGGTTTCATTGCGATTGGGATGGTGAGATTGGCAACAATTCAGACCTGTTGAACTATCAAAACTGCTTGAGCAGGACCCTCAGAGTGTGTCTCACATCAGCAACCTGGGATGGGTGGGAGGCTGGGTGGGGCTTCTCCCTTTGTTTTTCCCCTGATCCTAGATACAGGGAAAAAGAAATAAAAGAAAAAAAATTTAAAAAATAAATAGGGAGAAAAAAAAGCGACAAGCCAGTGCTCACAGCCTAAAAATGTGAAGTATTTCTTCTACTCCAAACTCGAGGCAGGTCTCTGTCCTACCCCTTCTAGGGAACTTTGGGGTCGGCACACATTCTCTAGGGTGGGGTCATGCTGGGAAGTTGTTTATAGGGGATTGGGCTCAGCTCTAGGATCTAGTCCCAAGTCCCCAGCCTGGCTCAGGAATGATCAGGTATTTCAGGCACGCCCAGGTTAAATGACAGAGGAATTTTACTGCAGGGGAGGGAAGAGTGGGGCGAGCAGAGAGGGAGAGGAATGGATGCTGAGATGGGCAAAAGGTCTCAAGGGCCTTGAAGATCTGATCTTTAGCTCTCCCGAGTGTTCAACATCTTCAAGTTTAGATCTATGTATATGTCAATATATTAAAAATCCAAGAAAAAAAAAAGAAGAAGAAGAAGGGGGCCCTGAGATCTCACTCAGAGGTTCCACAGGATGACCTCTAGGAGGTGACGGGGTTCAGCTCTAAGTTGACTAAGTTGAGCTCAGCCTGGAGATCACAGCCCAGGGACTGCACTTGGCAGCAGCCTGTGTGGCATTCACCCCCATTCCCAGTGGATCCCAGGCCCAGTCTACTTTCCTGGCTTTTCCCTCGCCTGACACCAGTAGCTGCTCGTCTCCTGCTCTCCCTGCCTTCCCTTTCCCACCCCGGATCACTCTCCTCACTTTCCTTCCCCTAGAGAAGCAGGGCAGTGTGGGAGGGGACAGCAGCTGGGTTGCAGTTGAAATGACCTTTCCCATGTCAACCTCGGCCTCTTCCCTAACTGGGTCAGCCCTCAACATGGCTCCCCTCCATGAGCTCTTTCAGCAACTTTAATTAAGTACAACTATGAGTAACAGCCAACACAAAACAGTTAATACTAGATTGGAACCTAGGGTGCCCACCCCCAGCATCCACGCTCTTGCTGCCATCATGTGGCTTAAAGAAATTCCATTTGGATCTGGCAATAGGGGTTGCAGTTTGGCTTAGCTCCCATCATCTGAAAGTCTTTGGAACTAAAGACTGGACCAAGACCAGAATGGAGTTGCACACAGGAGGGGAGAAGCTCAGCCATAGGAGAGGATAAGGGACACTATGAGGCTTCCAGGCCAGAACCCAATGTGTCATCTGGCCTCTGGCTTGGAAGCAGTGTTGGCAACCTCCTAGACCCTTGTCTCCTGGTGCAGGGGAGTGCCCTGGAAATGCCCTTAGGAACCCGGTATGTACACAGAGGAATACATACACACAATGAGGATGACAAAAGAGCCAAATACTGAAACAACACTGCAGACTCTGTCAAATGAAGACCCCAAGTATGGCGCTGGGGACCCCTGAGGTGCTCCAACAAAATCAAACAACACAGGCCTACCAGCTTGCACATGGCACCATAACACCTGCAACCCAGTAACATTCCTGCAGCACAGGCACAGCCATACACAGATGCAGGAAATCTCATCCTTGCACCCACCACGTGTACACTCACAGGCCCTACCTATCATCGCAGTAGGTGAACTTCATGTCCATGCTATGGCGGCTCAGGAAAGTCTTGCTATCCAGGGGGATGTCCATGTGGGATGGGTGCTGGATCGGTTCACACATGATGATGAGGCAAGACATCAGGGGCTCCTTGTAGCCACAGAGACTGTTGTGGGGAGGGCAGTCACTGTAGACCTTCACCTGGCCAGTGCAATGTAAAACCTGGGGGCCAGCAACAGAGGGTCAGACATGGGGCCAAGAGTTCTGGAGGGGGGTGGTGAGATGGTGCTTTAGGTGCCTCCCTGCCCTACGGTGTGGACCCTGCCCCCTGGCCTGATGCTGTCCTACCTTCCAGGTGGCCGACTTGAGGTTGACAGTCCGCCCTCTGTTGGTGACTGTGCACTTCATCCTCATGAAAAAGTCCCGCTCCGTGGACATGTCCTTATTTTTCTTCCCAAAACCAGATCCTGCAAAGGGAAGCAGAAGGGAGTGGACTTAACTTTCTATTTCCATTTACAACAGGGACCTCACTACATACAGTTTTCTGGGCAAGTTCCTGTTGTATCTCCCATGGATCTGCTCTCTCAGCACCTGTAACCTGCTCAGGACACTGAGCCTCATCTCATTTCTCTTCTCCTGCTTATCTTCTCAACCAGAGACAGCACAAACTGCTGCAAGGCAGGAGCTGCCCTGTCGTTTCGTTTCCCCTGCATCTAGCACATTGTCAGTGGTTACTTGATAGTGGCAAGGAAATGGGCTACTATTCGCCGTAATCTTGGCAACTCTGGAGCAGGCTGGGTTCTGCCAGCATGGGTAAAACCATAGTTACTCAAAAGGCACATACGTGTCAGGTTAGGAGTACCCCTCAGATATCCTTGTTTTGTCTTTATAAGGAGTTTCAAAGGAATGTGAAACCTCTTGCTCCCCCCTGCCCCCGCAATAGCTGCATTCAGGATATTAGGCCATGTCCTAGAGGAACATCTTTCAAAGCTTAAGAGAGATCTCAAGGGTGGCTCTCCTAGGATTTAGTGAGCAAGTCTGCTTTGAAGATCAACTCAACAGGGCCTATAGCCTCTTCTCTAAGCCAAAATTAAATAGATCACCAGGATCAGTCATATAGCTTCTCTCTTATAGTCTACAAAGAGTTGGCCCATTCACATCATCTACTTTCTGTAAAACAAAAGGAGTGAATGTGGTGCCAGCAGTCTCTCTTGTTCATTTCTGAAGTCTGCCTACACCAACATCCCTGGCACCCTGCCTAGCATCACAGAACAATCCAGATCTTTGTTTCAAGCAGTCACATCCCTCCCTCCAGGCAAAACCATCAGCCTCTGCACCTAAACCTCCAGACGGCCTTGGTTGATTGATTGATGTACTGCCGCAGAGCTGCGTGCCAAGAGCATGGTAGCATCCCTGAAATGAACTTAAACGCTATGTAGGGAGCCCACTAAGGAACAGATCATATGGTTCCTCTTTTGAGAAGAGAGAAAAAAATTGTTTCCTTGTGCTTATAGCATCCTCTCTCCCATCCTTACTTTCCATTTGCACATTCACAGGTAGAGTTTGCCTAGAATGCTAGGCACCTCTCTTCTTGGGGCCCAGGCCCACTCCCAAGAACAGCCCAGGAGTGAGCTATATATGCTGGGATTACTGCTATGGTCTCCTGACATGCTAACCTCCAGCTTCTCCCCTTTCTGACATCTGCTTATTCTTTCCCAATATGACTCCTAGGTCACCCCAACGCTGGTCAAGAACTTTCATTAGCTCTCCACTGTCTACAGGCTAAAGACCAAGGCCCCCTAACAGGCTTTCAAAGCCTTCCGTTGTCTTCCACATGGCAGCTTTATCTTCCTTCAGGAACCCACAGGAACCCTTTGCTTCTAGGTCACTAGTCCACCCTCAGGCCGGCACCGTCAGTGACCACTGGCTGACTCACCCTGCTTCACTGACTTCCCTGATAGACAAACCAAGAGATCTAAGGTGCTCAGATAACCAGAGTTCACTTGGCTCTGAATCATGGCACTCAAGAGCAGGAAGGTCCTAGACCTTGCCTAACCCAATGCCACCAACTTGGAACAGAGAAGTGAGGGACTTTCTACAGGCCACAAAATCACACTGTGATTGTAGTCAATGGCTACACGGAGCCTGAGACTGCCCCCCACCCACCCCCAGGGCTAACGGGTTCCTGGAGCAGACAAAAAAAATCAGAGCTTTTCTTTCCTAGGCTTGGAGCAATCACTTAGAAAGTGATCCAGAAAGTCTGGCAGCCCCTTGCTCACAGAAGCAAATATTCTGAATGGCACAGACCTTCAGGTCACTTAACTCATGGTGCTGGCAGTGGGAGGCAGCTCTCTGGGCTGGGGATGCTGGGAGAGTAAAGGGGTTGGAAAAGGAGGTTGTCACCCACCCTCCACCTACAGGTAAAGGGAAGGCAATGCTTCCCTGCCCACTGGGCAGAGAGGAAACAGTGTTTTACCGCTTTTGAGGGTCAGGTTCTCCCGGATCTCCTCGTGGTCACAGGGGTGAGTAAAGTCAAAGATGCTGTGCCCCGTCAGCTCCACCTGTTTGGAAAACAGCGTCAGGCCTTGCCATTCCCAATACTGCAAAGACTGCAGGAGACGGCCAAGCCACCTTCCAGAACTAGAGTCAGGGAGAAGAATGGCACCAGTCTTCTCAGAAGCCAAGGCCAGGGTCATCATGTCAGTGAGACCCAAGTCTGAGCAAGGATGGCAGAGATAGGAAGATGGCCATCAGCAATGCCAAATCCAGGGCCAGGGAGTGGCAGGGTATAGTATGGAGGCTCACAGCCTGCAGCTAGGCAAGATCACATGGGCTTGGGTAGGGACAGGTGGTAACCAGCATCTGCTGCTGTTTTCCACCCCTTCCTTCACCCCAGTCATGAAAACATTTTCCCGTATTGAGACATGGAGGAGGGCATCACCTGTGTGAGTCCCATGAACTTGCTGATGTTTTCAGACAGGAAGATCATGTCACCATCTTGGGTTACCACGGCAATGAATCCCTCCAAGGCTTTCAGGTACAAGTTGTCCATCTGCTGGTCAGCCTCGGCTTCAGACTCATTTTCAGAACACACTGGAAAGAGAGGCATGGGCATGAATGGGGTGCTAACACAAACACATGACTGGCATGGACAGATACCTAAAGGGAGATCAAGGGCACTGTGTGGACCTTTTCGGAAATGCACAGTGTCCACTAAGGCCCAGCTCTGGGTCTTGAGTGAGGACACCTGATGAAGGCATGGCAGACACTGTAGTGCCATGGAGCAATCGTGGCAGAGTAGTGCCCTGGAGTCACTACAGTTAAGAAGAAAAATTTAGCTGCTGGTGTATACCAAGTGATTTTACCCATCAGATAGTAATGAAGCATGCTTTGTTATCACAGTGACCTACGAAGTAGGTTCTATCCTTCCATATTACAGAGGAGGCATACAGAGGTGAAGCTATTTGATCCTGGTTGGAAAGGCTGGAAAGGGAGGGGGTCTAGGAAACTGAATCCAGAAGCCACACTCAACCACTAACAGGCTTTGAAGTCAACACTGATTCTTTCACTACATCAGTCTTCTATCAAGCTGTGACTTTGGGTGAGTAAACTTCCTCTTCACTTATCAAGTTCTTCATCAGCTAAAGGAGAGCATTTCTACTGTTTTAATTGTAAGGACTCAATAACAACATGAAATGCTTCAGACAGCATCAACGACTTTGAATTTTTAAACTTGTTTTTGTTTTTAAGGATTTATTATTTTTATTGGAAACACAGATTTTATAGAGAGGAGATATAGAGAGAAGCAGATACAGAGAGAAAGATCTTCTGTCTGCTGGTCTACTCTCCAACTGGCTGCAATGACCTGAGCTAAACCAATCCAAAGCAAAGAAGCCAGGAGCTTTTTCCAGGTCTCTTATGTGGGAACACAGTCCCAAGACTTTGGCCCATCCTCTACTGCTTTCCCAGGGCACAAGCAGGAAGCTGGCTGTGAAGTAGAGCAGCCAGGATACAAACTGGTACCCATATGGGATCCCAGCACATGCAAGGCGAGGATTTAGTCATTAGACCATCTTGTCAGGCCCGATTCTGAATTCTTCCTCTCTTCTGCCATCACAACACTCAAAGCCCAGGCAGGGAATATGAGATTTAAAACCCCAGAGCTGGGCCCAGCGCGATGGCGCAAGTGGTTAAGGTCCTCGCCTTGCATGCCCGGGATCCCATATGGGCGCCGGTTCTATCCCGGCAGCCCCGCTTCGCTTCCCTTCCAGCTCCCTGCCTGTGGCCCCGGGAGGGCAGTCGAGGATGGCCCAGAGCTTTGGCGCCCTGCACCCGTGTGGGAGACCCGGAAGAGGCTCCTGGCTTCGGATAGGCATAGCATCGGCCCGTTGCGCTCACTTGGGGAGTGAATCATCGGATGGAAGATCTTCCTCTCTATCTCTCCTCCTCTCTGTATATCTGACTTTCCAATAAAAAAAAATAATAAAAATAAATCTTAAAAAAAAAAAAACCCAGAGCATCACAACTGGGTACCCAAGGTGGAATGCACACACTTAGGTGGGAGGAGGACTCATTCCAGGGTGACCAGATGTGAGAAGGCTCACAGAAAGCAACCTCACCATGGCTGGTGAAAGCAGCAGGTTTTTCTGTGCCTGACGGAGTAAGCAAGCCCTGGCCAGCACGCAGAGCAGGCTTCCTCTGAGGCCTGAGCTACAAGATCCTACTTCCTAGTCTCAGGGTTAGGTGTGGTGAGTAGCTCCCCTGCCAGACAAAGAAGCATAGCACAGCAAGCACAGATGGAATCTCTACTCAGGGCCCTAGTCTCTAGGTTTCTATCCTGAGATATGGGATTTATTCCTATCTTCTGCTCCCTAGTTCATGACTTGACTCCAAACATACATTTATTTACTTATACACATTCATGTTCATACAGGGTGTAAGCATCAGCCCAAGTATACCCAGAACAAAGGGATTAGAGAGTTATTGGCACCTATCAAACTTAATATTCACTTTAAAGGGGGGGGGGTTCTCAGAGGGAGACTCTTCTAGGGGATGCAAAAACAAGACCAACTATGTGGGCTACTTGACCAGCAATGACTCAATGCTGGGCAGTGTGGCTCAAGTTCAAGGACATTTAGTCTATTCAATTCAAGCTTCTAACTTGAAGCTCTAGACTACCTGCCATGACCCCCAAAGCATTTTAGTTGGGATATATTCCATCCCAGGGGCTTCACTGGCAGCCCAGGGGAGCAGTCATCTTTCAGAGCACAGGCTCAGAGGTTAGGCCAAGTCTCAGCCTCATCGCTTTCTGCAGAGAAACACCACAGGGTGGGCCAGCCCTCAGCACTGGAGCCACTGCACTGAGTTGTACGGCAGCAGCTTGCTCTCTGACTACTACAACATGACACAAACAAATGAGGGCAGGCCTTTCTTCCTCACACCCGGGTTCAGGAGGCCAGCCTTCTGCATAGGAGTCACCTTCCACTCCCTGCAGAGCCAATCCCCATTCAGGGTCTCCAGCTCACATGTCTGCTCTGTCCCAACTGACTGGTCAGCTGGAGTGATACAGAAGCCATGGTAGTTCAGGGTTGGGTGACATGGCAGCTGCTGTTGATGCTCCCAGGTAACGCACATCTCACAAGGGCTGTAGGAGAGCCAGGGACTCAGCCCAGAGCCTTCATAGGTGACTGGCTCAGGACAAGAGCATGAGGGCAAAGGGAACACACGTAGGACCTTCTGTGGAACAATCTACACAAACCCAGGGCCCCAGGAAGACAGAGGTGAAAGGGTCCTATTGCCAGGGTGTCCCATTCAATAAGCCCAGGTGGCCCAGCCAAGTAGCTCCCAGGACCACAGCTGAGAAGCCCTGCCTTCACTCTGGGTCCTGCAAGTGACCCTGATGTTGGGAAATTCAGCTTAAGTGGAAGGTGGTCATTATTTTGGGAACTGGGGAGGAGGTGTGTTGGAGACCATTTCAAAATCACCCTAAATAGGTGACCACCTTCTCCAGACAAGGAGAGGCCAACCAGGTAGTTTCTGGCCTACGGGGAAGATATTTTCTCTCTGATTTCTTTGATCTCAGTAGTAATGCTGACTTCAAAATCTGGACTCATCCCAAAACAACACTGTTTGGGCTAACAAGGCACACAGGAAATAGTTCTGCTTAACACTTCCTGTTTTCAACAGTTCCAGCCCAACCAAACTGGTTTCTACTTGTGCCTAGCATATTTGCTTCCAGGAGGTGGCGAAATTGGTTCTACCGGCCAGTCAGCCCAGTTATGAGAGGGCGGGAGAGGGGTGTGCTGGGGCCAAGGAGGGAAGCCCAGCATTGTGGAAGTGAGGTCACAAGAACTGCAGCCCCGGGGACCGTAAGGCAGCAGCACTAGTGGCTCCCACAGAGCCTGGCCCTTTGGCAGGGAGCCCCACATGAATGCTGAGAAGCCAGGGGGCAGAGCCTCATTGAGGGGTTCACATCATATCTCAGCCTCTTAATCTGTGAACACCCTGTCTTCCTGTGGCTTTACTAGCATCTGAAGTGTCAGACACAGGGGCAAATGCCTCTCTCCACTGTTGTCAAACATCTAGAGCGTGTGTGCTCTGTGGCGGGTGTAAAACCACCTGTCCACTGTGTCAGTTCCTCTAGCCAGGGTGGGGGGCAGTGTCGCAGGGGCACAAAGACTGCTGGAGGTTATACAATCATCAAAAGTGAACCCTGAGTGCTGAATAAAGCAAGCAGCCCATGCTGGGAGCTCAGTCAGCCGCTCATGCGTTATGAAACAGTCCCAGGTTCTGGGGATCATTGCCTTGCTTCCCAAGCCCCTTCAGGATGTCCCAGTGAGGAGGGACAGCCATTCACCCAGGCGGGCAGCACCCTGCTCAGCATGGGGAGCTCGAGACACTTTCATGCTCAAAATAGGCCTGGTAAACAGGCTTTGATGACTTTCCACAGCCAGGATATGCGCGGGCTGAGACTTCGGAGCACTTTTTCCGGAGTATCACTCATTTCCTTTAAGCAGCACCACCCATATGCGGCGGGAGGGCATGGGCAGAAGGAGCTGGGCATCTGGGGTGAGCAGGCAGCCAGGGTAGACACCTCCCACCCAAGTCTCAGACCAGCCTGCTGCTGCCCAGGCTGTCCCAGCAGGACCCTTCCCCCAACCCCTCTAGTCCCAGAACTGTTCCAACTCTCCACCAAGCCTTCCTGTTCTAAGATGTGCCAGCAGGTAGTCAGTCACTACTTAGGCAGCATTCCCAGTAGTTCTTTTTGTGGCTTTGTCTGAAGCCATCCCTTCCCCAACCGCCCCCTACCCCCCACCATCAAAAAAAGAAGAAGAAAGAACTTCTCACAGGCCTAGACATCTGCTTTTCCTACCTGGGTGTGCCAAATGCAAAAACAGGGTTCACTGAGAGCCCAGGGGAGACAAAATAATTTGGAGATGACTTCCTGGATCATCAGACTGTCCCTCTGGTTCTCCCCCCAGCCCTGCCAACCAGCAGGTGTGGGCCATGATCACATCTCAGGCAGAAGGTATGGGAGCCATCTGATTCAGCCCACCCTCAGAGATCATGTCTGCGCCCTTTGCGTGGCTTCTGACTCTATTATCCCCTCTCCCTGCTGGGAAGTCGTGGTGCAAGCCTGGGCCAGGGAAGTCCTACTAATGATCAGACTTGTGTTTTAACTTAGGGAATGATCAGAACCAGGCCGGTATCTCTCCAATATATGTAGCATTCCCAACCCCTGACACCCTTGCAGGAGGCAGCTTGCAGGTCTCTTCCCAAACAGAAGGGGAAAGAGCCTTGGTGTGCAGAGTGAGTGGGGTAAGGGGCTGACATGGTTCACAATTAGGGGCAAAAACTTGAATTGGGGTTTTCATGGGCACTAGAAACCACAGTCCTCTCTACCACCTCACTCTCTTCGCCTCACGTGCTCTGCCAGGGAAGCACATGGCAAAGACGGTGCAAGTGCTTGCCCTTCCTAGGCCTGTCATCCACCAGCCATCACCTCCCATGAAGACTGCGGTCCTCTCCAGGCAAACACCAATGAATCCAACATGCACCTGCCACTGCTCTTCAGAGACCTTGCTTCCTGTCGGTCCCCCAGCTCCCTTCCTGACAGATTGTTTCACTGGGTCTGAGTGCTGCGAAGCCCATTTGACAGCAGAAGGCAGCTTTTGCACAGGCATCACTGCCCTCAGAGGACACCTGTGCTGGTTTATGGGTTTGAGGGCTCCCCCTGGAAGAGGACAGTCTGGTGGGGTTCCCACTGAGGTTCCCGTAAGAGCGTGCTCTGGGCCACGAGTGACATAGGGCTATTGTTTCGCTGGGCTTCCTGAGATACGGATCTTGCTGGGCCGCCCAGCCCTGCAGCCTGCCTTTCTCAGTGCTGAGGCTTCCTCTCCAACATTCCCACACAGAACAGCCCACTGTGAGAATCAAAGGAAAGCATGTTACTAAGTAAAGCAGCAGTGCAGCCCAGGCAAAACCTGGCACTGCTCGGCCTTTTGAACTCTGAGCTAGGCGCACAGCTATTTCCGAGCATGGAACCGACTGACGTGGGTGCTCACCTTGGTGGCAGAGGCTCATCTCACACACCTGGACCTGCCTGCAACTGGGAAAAGCTGAGGGCCACTGCATTGGGACAGGAGTGGCTGAGAGACAGGTGCAAGGACAGCAAAGGGGGACCTCTGGGTTTCCAGCGATGTCGGCATTTTTCCAGCCATCAGCATGCCTATTGGTATCATGTTTGTTCTAAGCTCGCCCTGGCTGAGAGCCAGGTGGATGGTGAGAGCTGCAGGCCCTTCCTCCTCCAGGCCATCTCAGCCTTCACTTGGCCCTGCAGGGCAAGCACGCACTGTCCCTGTGAGCAGAGGAGGTTTTTACAAGGCTGCAAAGAAAGAAAGCAGCCAAACCTGGACCCCAATACAGTTCTATGTGCCCATAATCCCATCTACCTTCTCATTAGGCTACATGCCCTGGAAAAACAAACTATGTGTATTGCTGAAATGGTGTTGTCATTTTTAAAAAGAGTCTGAGTAACCATGTCAACAACCAACCTGAAGAAACATGTGGCAAGAGCCTGAAGGTAGGTGAATAAGAGGCACAAGCAGCAAACCCTGCCCCCACTTCACCATGTTCAGTTCCTGAGACCCTGCCTTTCAAGGACATCAGGACCAGAAGGCCTGAAGCAGAAACTTTCTTTTTGCATCACTCCTTTCCTGGGACAGAAGCCCAGAGCTGCCATGCCCAGGGCTCTGGGCAGGCAGGGGCAAAGTGCAGACAGATGTCAGGCAGTCTGAGTCCATAACTCAGAGGAGCTCCTGAGCTGGGAGAGCTAGGACAGCCCCTCCTGATCTCCACGGGTGTCTCCAGCACACAGGGCTCCACCAGCACACAGGCAGACATGCCTGATGGCTCAGCCACCAACTCTCCCTCTCCCTCAAGCCATCCTCTGGACTATGGAAAAGGAAGACTGGGCTGGGGTGTGGCCAAGCATGGCCCAGGCAGCCTGCAGCCACAGGAAGCACAGAAGCAGGTCTCAGAGTCTGAGCATCTCCTCCCCATCCTGCTGCTCAAGGCCAGCCTGCCGAGTGGCCTCCAGCTGACATTGTTGCCCCAGCCTTCTCTTTTATGGCAACCCTCAGGCTTCATCAACATTCTATTCTGGCTAGTCTACAGAAGGCACCCGCTGTCTTCTGTGTGTCTTTTTTATGAACTTGGCTGTCAAGGGCAGATGGACCATGTGCTCGGTGTATGACTCTGAGCCCCCTTAGCTTCTCTGGGAAATGAGAATGAACACCTAACGGGTCTAAACGCAGTCAGAAAGGCATGCTAGGATCAACAGTTTGGATCTCCAAGGGGTTTCTGTTGGCCAAGGGATGGGAGAGCTGGCTATAAGCCCCAAGGAATTCACGTCCAAGAGCAGGCTTTCAGGTATCATCCGAAGGAAGCAGAAACTAGACTCTGGGTGTGGAAAAGGGGTGTCCACCTGGTCAGTCAAGACTCCACTGCTTACTATGTATAAAGATGGTCCCAGGGCCTGGCATGATGGCCTAGTGTCTAAATCCTTGCCTTGTACATGCTGGGATGCCATATAAGCACCAGTTCATGTCCTAGATTCTCTACTTCCCAGCCAGCTTCCTTCTTGTGACCTGGAAAAACAGTAGGGGATGGCCCAAAGCCTTGAGACCCTGTACCCACACAGGAGACCTGGAAGAACCTTCTGGCGCCTGGCTTGGGACTGGCTCAGTTCTGGCCATTGCAGCCACTTGGAGATTGAACCAGCAGATGGAAGGTCTTTCTGTCTCTCCTTTTCTCTGTATATCTGCCATTCCAATAAAGTAAATAAAATTTAAAAAATATGGATCCTGCTCTCAAACACAGTAATGGTAGATGAATCCCTTTGAAAGAAAGTGCTCTGAGATAACTTTTGTGGTCCTTCTTAGATGGAGCAACCCCAGCTTGGCCAGGGAGTCAGCCACTGCTGCTTCTTTTCAGAGCACCTGTGACCCCTGCTCTACCCACTGGAAAGCATTCACAGGGCATCTGCTGTCCTGAAATGCTGTGCACCGAGTCTCCATGGGTTTACAGCACAGCTTGCCCTGCAGCCCTGGGGTCCATGGAGCTGTTGCCTGCTTAGTTCCTCCCATATCCTTCCTGTGCTGTGGGGCCTAGAATAGCACATGCCGATTCGGAGTCCCCTTGCTTGGGGCCACTGTCCCAGAATAGTCACTGCAGGAAAGGATGTCTGAATGGGCCCTTCTGCAAGTATCTCACTCAATGAATGTGGCCCGCGACAGACCCTCTGCTCCCGGACTTGCCTCCAGCATGCCCATTCCCTCACATGCCACCCATCTGGGGTGGGGCTGGGCACCCCAGTCTTAATAGAACTGCGACAACTCAATGAGCTGGTCCCTGGGAAATTTCTGAAGCCACCTCTTTCAGGTCAGGCCTAACAGGAAATGGCGTGGAAAAGGATGTTAACTTTTAGGAAAAAACAGTGCTTGGTGAGCCCACATGCTGTAGACACTGGGGAGGCTGAGAACTCATCAGTTTTCTGGGGACAGGCGATGTTTTATATGATCACCTGCCAGGGACTCTCCTCATAGCATGAATGAAGGCAGCACGGATGCATCCTGGCCCTATCACACACTCACCCTGGGCAGTCTCATCAACACCACAGTGCAGCCAAAGAGAACCATCGCTCAGAGACCTAGTGGCCTAGCCAGCTGGCAAAGGATAAAGACCAGTGATTGCCTTCTCTGCCATACTTGACAAGCAGTTAGAAGTCAAGACTAACACATTTCCCACAAGTCAACCTGCTTTGTCTAGGGGTCTTCTAACGAGGGGTGGGCAATGAAACTGGGAAACCAGCCAAAACCATCCTTGCTTGTTCTCCAAGACCTTTCTACCCTCCTCAGCGTCCAGGTGCCCATGCACTTGCCTGGTTCTGCCCTTGCCCTCATTCTGCAGCTTTGTTGGTTGCAGAGGTCACCACAGGATGGAAGATGTTGGACACGCAGGGAGGGAGCACTAATGGCATTTGTGCAGGTGCAGGCTTTGCAAGTGGGTTTCATGGCTGGAAGACCTCCATTTCTGGCACAACAGGAACTTCCCTGTGTGTCAGAAATACCAAGGAGGCCTCACCTGCCAGCCTCACCTGAGCTGAGCAGCTTGTGTGTCCGCAGGAAGCTGATGGCCAGCCGCATGATGGAAGCCTTGTCCAGGTGGGAGCTGACACTGTGGGGCAGGGGCAGCTCATGGGCCAACTCGTAGAACACTTCTGTCTCCTTGCTTCGCCGGCACCTTGCTGCATCACGGGACTTCTCCTTCCTCCTCTCCGAGCTACTCCTAAGGTGAGAGAGAGGTGGTTAGTCCCTGAAAGGCCACTGCCATCTTACTGGTCCCCTTCCCCAGCACCATCAAAGCATCTCTAAGCCCACAGTGCAGCCAGAGCCTCCCCTGGGATTGCTCTGAATTTCCCTAAGTCATCGGAACTCCACACAACCTGCTAGCCACCATAAGTGTACAGCGTCTTTGCAACTGCACACCTCCTCTTCTGCGCCTAGAGCCTCCAGTGTGGAGCTTCAAGCAAATGACAGTGCAGCAAAAGACTTGCTGATTAGGTTAACGGACCAGGTCAACTGTGGACAGGGTGAGTATCGAGGATAGGCACCTGCATTCTGTTGCACGGTGCTGTTTCTGGGGAAGACTCACTCAGAAGAGATCAAACCCAGTCCATTTATCCCAGAGACGATTTCCACAGGGAACATGGAAAATGCTGCTGGCACCCAAGAACAGACCCACCCACCAGCCTGGAATCCCATGGCACACACTGTCCTGGTGAACTAGGGCAAGGCCAGACACACTTTCCCCCCAAACCCTTTGAGACCAGGGTTGCCACCCTCTCATGCCCACCTTTCTCAGTGTTGCACGGCATGGCACAGAACATACCCCATACCTACCTCCCTCAAGAAGGTCTACAGAACTCCTGGGTTTTTCTTTTTATGAATCCACGCCACATCCTAACATGGGCAAGTTTAAAAGCCACACAAATGGGCTGAAATTTTGACTTCTGCCCTTGCCAGCTCTATGAACCTCAATCACTGGGACTGTTGACCCCCAATTCCTCATCCAGCATGTACTCCACATTGAGCGTAAGGACTATGTGTCAGCTCTAACAGGACAGCTTCAGCACTGACCTGTGCCACCTGCTGGAGGTTGCTGCCAGAACCCAGTCACAAGATACCTGTCCCTGCAAAGAGTTACAGAACAGTCCTGGATCATCCCCTTCTCAGAATATGAATTCCACACACTAGCGTATAACACAGGAAAAGAGCTGTAAATACAAGTAAATAGCCATTGCTGTCGCTACCACCACCACCCCTCCCTGTGTGTGCATGTAGCGTGTCCTGGCATCTCTTGTGCTTTTTCATGCGACACCACAGTGGCCTCTCCCAGCGGAAGCAGGCAGTGTTATTGTCCCGACAGTCAAGCTGAGCAAAGGGACCCCCCAGAGCCTCCAGCAGAGAAATAGCGATTCTGGGTTTTGCAAGGAGTGGGGATTCCAGAGCCCATGTGTGCCTCCTTAAATGTTGTTCCTCTCTTAAAAATCAGTGTGAGGGGCTAGAATGGTAGCCTAGTGGCTAAAGTCCTTGCCTTGCATGTGCTAGGAACCCATATGGGCACAAGTTCATGTTCCGGCTGCCTGCTTCCCATCCAGCTCCTTGCTTGTGGTCTGGGAAAACACTAGAGGGTGGCCCAAGGTTTCAGGACCCTGCACCTTTATAGGAGACCTGGGGGAAGCTCCTGGCTCCTGGCTTTGGATCGGCTCAGCACTAATCATTGCAGCTACTTGGGGAGTGAATCAGCTGACAGAAGATCTTCCTCTCTCTCATCCTCTCTGTATATCTGACTTTCCAATAAAAATAAATCTTTTTTTAAAAAATTAAAAACCACCAGTGTGAGCCCTGGCAGGATGGAGAGGTGAGTTTTTAATTCCTCAGTGCTTGTCTTTATCATCTGATGTACCCACAAATAACCCCCGTTGGGTATGCCATCAAGCAACAGGTGTATGATTCTGCTGTTTTACAGAAAGGCACCATGGAACTCCTGGTACTCCCAGGGCGCGAGTCCCACCAGCTCCCTTCAGCTCCTTTGTACTGTCCTGCCTTCCAAAACTGCCACAGCCAGTGCCCACTTCTGCCTTTTGTTTATTGGGCAGCCTGCTATCTGCACAGAAAGTCCATATTCTGGGATCCCCAGCAAAACACCTGTTGCATCCCTTAAGGGTTGAGGCAGAAGCACTGTTTGCACTCTACAAAGACAGGAGGGGGCAGCTGCCTGGGCGGATCAAGTGTGCATACCCGAATAGCAGTAGGGCTATCCTGTGGCTGAGGGTGGCCAATGAGAGCCTTCAGTGAGATTAGGAAATAAGGGAGGTCATTTTCCTTGTCCCGACTCCCTTTTCTGTTTCTGGAATCCCTGCTTCCTTCTCACCCTGCTTTCCAGCTCTTATCTTACGCAGCCCCATCCTCTCTAGCCCTTCCCTCAGGGAGTATGTGCTTTTTTGGGTAAATCTTCAGTGGAAGCGTCTCTATTAGTTCCTTCTGTCTGCATTAGTCCTGACCTCTCTGAGGGAGGCAGTGGTAGGTGTGTAGGCTCCTCAGTGGGGGAAGCAGGCAGGGCATACATTTAGGTTAACAGAAATAGATTTCAAAAGCTACTGGATTCTATTCTCTAGTACCAACCCTTGTATGGCCCCACAAACACATCAACACACAAGTGATCCTCGGGGCATCTACAGAAGCCATGCTAGGGGAGTCTCACCCATCCTATGGCAGTAATGGCAACACCTGCCTGCACAAAGCTTTGCTTTGTTTCAGCCTCCCCCTAGAGGAGAAGGGCCAATGAGGCAAAGAGGAAGAGCCAGGGAGCGGAAAGGCCATCTGGAGGCAGGTGTCTGGTCACGACACTTGAGACTGAAGGGCTGCTGTGTTCCTTCAATTGTGTGCCTGCCTTGTGTCTTGCATGTATCATGTCATCACAAGCATAGCCACAGTGCAGCACAGCAGGTGTTGCTTGCATGATTTACAGAAGTGGAGACTGAGGCTCAGCCATAGAATGACATGTGCCCAAAGGCACAAAGCCAGGGTCCACACAAGCACATCCACCCTTGTCGGGCTTGATAATCAAGGAACAGCAGACATGTTGAAGTCTTAAGATATAGGGGTGCTCCCCATTTAATCTGTTCTGACAACCACATGAGGTGCAAAAAACAGGCTTTGGCATTTTCTACATTTCATGCTTTGGGAAGCTGAAAGCCAATCACTTTAAGGGACTTGCCTTGGACAATCCAGCTAACTAGGAGCAAAGTTGAGGCTAGAACTTCCTTTTTCCTAGGCCAACATTCTTTTCCTGATTTACAGGATTGGAATTTTTTGCAAACAGTAAAGAAACAGCAACATCTTAACAATTAGGAAAAAAAGTAAGACTGAGGAGGGGGGCATTGTTGGGAAGACTGAGTTTAAAAGTTAGGAGCTCCATTATAGCTTCCTTGTTTTTTGATAGTTGCACCCTGCGACTAACATGACATTAATTATATTATCCAGCTAACCTTGACACAGCCCAGAGATGTGTCTGATGTCAATTCTGGAAAGAACAGGCAACAATCTGCAACACTGCCATCACCTAATTAGCAACACTGAAGAACAAAAATCATTAACACCAAGTGTGAAAGCAGGAATCACCATCACGCCTGAACCCCTCAGATGGGTATGCACACTTGCTCCCTATGAAAGTAATCACAGACAGCCCAGGCAGGGAGAAGTGCTAGTGTTTCAATTATTAGACACAGGCACATCTCACTGTTTCCAGCCAAGCAAATTTATTCTGCAGGGATTGAAAGTCCCTGCCTCACTCGTGAAAACAGGAGAAATCTTAAGATCAAAGGAGATGAAAGCAAAGGCTGGAAGTACCAGAAAGCTCTCCACCAAAGCAAGCTTCACACCAGCAGCACTCGTGGACTTTTTTCTGGCTCTTCAGGGCTCTGGTCACACTGAGATGTGGCCCAGAAGAGCAGGTTCCCCACTCAGGGCCAGGCATGCGCATCAGGCATGCAGAGCCTTTGAGTCATGGCTCAGTCTCCCAGCTCAACCTGCTTCACTTCTTAAAATACTTGCTCTTTGCCTTCTCTCCTCAGATGGGTCCTTGAATTAGCTACGATAGATCAATTTTGCTAATGATAATTCTAAAATGTACATGATAGTAGAATCCTTTGCCTTATCCTCAGTTTTCAAAATTATGATTTTCTATTGTTATCTACACACTTCCCCTCCTGTCTTTCATGGTGGCCCTGGGGTTCCCACCCGGGGTCCTGACCACATAGGCCACACAGAGCAGGCAGCATAAGAGTGGACCTGGTCCAGGCGTGTGTACTGAGCTGAGTTCACTGAGGAGAATGACCAGAGGCTCACTGCTTGTTCTCTGTGAGTACACAGCCTAGGTGGGGAGCCAATTATGTGAAATGGCTCCACTTACCGCAGCAGCCAGTTCAGGCAACACACACTATAAGAGGTTAGGACAAGAAACACGTTGGTATCATCAACAAGGCTAAGGAAGACTGTTCAGGAGGCTGGAGAATGGAACCTAAGGGATGAATAACAATGTCCTTGTACGGGTTAGGGGTTCAGAAAGCTCTTTCTAGGAACACAGGTTCTTACTTGATTCTCACAATAACCCTAGGCAGTCAGAGAACTCTTTAATACTCATTCCAGGGTGGAAAGATGAAGATTTGGAGAGAACATATAATTTTCCATAGATATTTGTTTCCAACCTGGGCTAAGAACAAATTGTTTTCCACTAGCAGCAAGAGCTACTGCTTGTTGTACAACTCTCACATGCCCATGTCATGTTAGATACCTTCCCATGAAATGGTTGTATGTATATATATATATATATATATATATATATAATATGAGGTGGGTTGATTTGAATATGATGCACAGACAAAGACTCTGCATTTCTGTGTGTGTGGCAGGGTAAGGGAAGGCCCTGTCACCTTCAGAAATGACCTGGAACCTTAGGATTAGCATTAAGAACCACTATTGGAGATCACATGGAACATGAGGGGTAAGAGGAGGATCCCCTGACACTGGCCTTCACAGGTGCACCTCTGGCCAGGCAAGACTGCTTGTGAAGGGTGTGGTCAGATGCCATAGAGCACTCTACACACAGCAGGTCCTGGCCTGCACAGTGTCTATCACACTGCAGGTGCAAAACAAGCCGTTCCTGGCATATGTAACAATTTAAAAAGGTGTTTTATTTATTTATTTGAAAGTCAGAATTAGAAA